ACTCATGGTGTCCTGGGGGATCTCCCATCAGATCTGGACCAGGGCATCGCTGAGTTGCTGGAACAGTCTGAGGTGCATCATGAACTAGTAGGAATCCACTGCAACAGCACAGGATCTGACAGAAGGTGCTGTTGCCTAACCGATCTGAGGTCTGTGTCTCCCTCCATGGATACGTTTCCCCAAACCATCACTGACCCACCACCAAACTGCTTGTGCTGAATGATGTTAAAAGCAGCTTAATGTTCTCCACAGGTCAACCTGCTCTCATCTATGAAAAGCACAGGGCAGCAATGGCCTTCAGACCACCATCATGAAGTCTGTTTCTGATTGTTTGGTCAGAAGCATTCACACCAATAATCTTCTCATCCTGTTCTTTCTTACATAAAGGAGCAGATACTGGTTGTCCTGGTGGATTAAAGTCTTTGTACGACCCCCTCCTGCTCTCCTAGAATAACTGTCTGTCTCCTAGGATACCTCAATGCTCTTGGAGATACCCTACCTGTGCAACCTCTGTAGGGTCCAGATATTGCCTCATGCTACCAGAAGTGACACTGACCCTGGCCAAATGGAAAAACAATCAGAAAAGATGAGGAGGGAAAAATGCCAGTGACCTCCACCTGTAAAAACATTCCTGTTTTGTTGCCTGTTGTTAATTTCATTAATACCAGAGGAGCTGAAAGTGATTAACGATCCCCCCTGCTGCCTAACTGACCAGATCAATATCTCAGGAGTTGAACTGGCGTTCCTTCATATCTGAGATAATGTATTTTGCTGAAAATCTAGGACATGAATCACTTGTTGCATAAAATGCACAGCACACATGCAGACTATCCTTTGATAGTCTGCATGTGTAGGTTTAACCACCAAGAAGTATGAGGTCAAATAATCAATTTAAAACATATGTGTAGGCATATCTTTGAGCTTTTTAGGTACCTTGTGATAAGGCTATTTTTATGCTATGGAAGCTTCCCCGACTCCACCTTTGTCCTTGATGCAGACGGGAGATCGGTGTAATTCTTCTCCTCTCACTCTAAGCATGTATTTAATTGTGAAAGAAGCCAGAATACAGAGAGCTGTTTCCAGTTTTTGTGCTAAAATAGACAAAACATGTAAGCCACCTCTCTATAGAACCCACAGAGATTAAATTGATACCGATGTTTGCACATGAAAGTGGTTAAGACACCCGTGTGCTCGTTGAAGAAATTACATCTCCGCTGTGGCCTTTCCCCCCAGCGTTTCACAGCTCAAGTGCTTTAAATAACCCTGACTATATCGATTTTACTGACTGAAGCGTTTTGCCTTTTCAGTGTCTCGGAGAGTTTTTTCTTTGCACACAGTGATTGATGTTATAAAAAAGAGAAAAAGGTAACTTGTTAGATTGTGATGTGAGAGGAACTGAAAGGTAATGACTGATGCTTTTTTGTGCATGTTTTTTTCAATAGGATAATAAATCTGCAAAGGGTTTATCATATTATCTGAAATCTTTGATGTAGACAGAGAAGAGAGCTTAGCAAAGAGAACAGCCAATTGGATTCCTGACACTACATTTTACTGCTAATTAGGAAAAAACACACTAGGCGGTGAAAGCGTTTTAATGCAAATTATCCGAGGAAGAGAATCTGCACTCAGGTTTCAGACTTTAAACACCCCACATAATACTTATTCTCTACACTTTAAATTTATTGTGTAAAGGCCCTTGGCATGGAATAATCTTGTGCCTTTGGTGAAAGGATTAACAATTTATCATGGACTTAAATTTTATACAGCTAATGCAAATGGATTACAGCTTGCCAATAGCTCGCTGACTGCTTCAGGACTGCGCAACAGTACGCTGGCCTGATATAACTCCCGATGTGCACAAACTGAAGCAGTCACACGTGTTTTCCTGCTCATAATGCTGTCGCTATAAGAATCGGTCAGATGGTGCAGATGAAATCGAATCAAATACATCATCATAAAAGCTCTGCTGCACTCTGTGTGATTTTATTTAAAAAAAACAACAAAAACAAAATCTCACCACAGATGAAGCCCTCGTCTTCTCCATAAGGACAGTCCGTGTGGAAGTTACACACTTGGCTCGTGGCGATGCAGTCTCCTGAGTGGTTGCAGTGGAAAGATTCCTCACAAATGGGACTCATTTCACCGAAATGGTGTTCTGCAATGGAGACAACCACACAACAACTGTAACAACGTGCAAAGCAGATTTAGAGGCCCGGTGAGTTAGGATGAGCGACGAGGCAGCTTTTACAGGAAGGTCGGTCGATTCTGCGGAGGGGCTTTTCTTGACTCGCTGCTCTATACCGTAGAGACTTGAAAAATGTGAAACCACTGAGAAAAAAGGTTCAAGAAATCTGCAAAACAGACCAGGCATCTTTTGCCTGTTTACAAATTGACCGCAAATCATGAGCTTTTTAATTTTCCTGACACCAGAGCATTTTTGTGTGCTGACATTCACTTGCAAAACATGCATGAGACAAAAAAAGGAAACCTTAACACGTTTTGAGTGAATCAGTTTTCATAAGCAACCTTAACTGTAATCTGTAGAGAGAAAAGTTCTCCTGTAGCAGCTGTGGAAACGTTAAAACGCGAGTATGTGCTACTGTGAAAGTACCTCAGGTTTTAAAATAAAGTGGTTCCTTTTATCTGGTCTGTGCGGTTGTAGGTGCTTATCACAGGAAATGACCATGAGCATCTGGTTTGAAAGCTCTTAACGACCTGATAAACTCACCTGATTCGCAGTTTATGAACTCCAGCGAGTCCAGAGCCACAGTGGCTTCTCTCTCACACGAAGTGTAGAGCAGGGTCACCTGAAAGGGTCCAGCCACCCAGCCAATCGGAACTCCAAAAATCTGCCACTCAGCCCTGCATTAAGCAATCACACAGAAACAAAATCAATCGAATTTCTCACATAAGCAGCAGCCCTGGGCCTTGTACTATGAAGCGAACTCAACATACCCAGGGTATCTCTCCAATATTGCCCTAGCATCAGCAATTCGGGTAGCGTCAGCAAACTCTGGTTTTCCCCTCTGGGTTCACATGAAAGTAGTTGCTTTGGCAACAGCCAATAAGTATACTGGCAGCAGAGGGGCTGAGTTTACAAAGGATCCAGAAAGTATAAGATTACAAGAATTTAAAGAGGTTGGACTCATAATACAGACCGATGCTCATCAGAGAAACGCAAAACCATCAGCCCCTCTTACTTTCGACGTGCAGAGGTTTGAGGAGTGGTGACACGATTTAGGTGATTCATTTATACCTGATAATCTCTTACTTGGAGCATAACCTGTAAGTCACCATGGTGATTTATCCCAGGAAGAAATGAACCACCTTCATAATACAATAACCTCCGTGCTAACCCTGAAGTTCATTCAAAGTACACACTTCTGAACTTTTGTGGACCTTACCTGACGAAGGTGCACGTGAGAACCAAAGATCTCACACAGTTAGAGCTCACATCAAAATGTCAGCTCACCAGTGCAAACTACACGTATTATCCAGCTGCAGTGATTTGTAATGATGGGAGAAAGCGCAGGTAATAGACTGGTGCATTCATAGCTAGTGGTGATCTCGCTGTGACCTGCCTCCAGCATGCTCTACTCAGACATCATCTTCACCTAAACCAAAAAGACTCTTTCCATTAGTGAGGTGAAAACTGTTTCCTGCTGTGCGCTACATTTGCAGCCAACTACGGACCACGTCCTGACTTGACTCTCCCCCACGTCTTCCAAAGTTCACATGTGAAAACAGCTTTTTTCTAACTCTAATTTTTGGCTTTTATAGTTCCATTAAAGAGAAGTGCATTAAAAGTAAAACAAGTAAAGGTTAAAACAAGAGTATCTTCACTTTCTTGCCTTCTTTATGCAACATTACTGCCAAGATGATTTCTTTTGTATAAAAGCCTGCACTGCAGTTTCTACAGTCAAGTTTGCATTTGTTATATGTTCTGCTAAAGCCCTCTGCATTCTCTGAAATAAAGAACCTTTGTAATGTATGAAAACTGAAGCTGAATATTAAAATCCTTCACCTGCACCCTCTTCTCATTTCTCACCATAGTGTTTTACTAAATAATGTTTGTGCCTTCTTCCATCTGTCATTTATTGGCACATTTCCACTACTGCTGCCATTATCAACCATGGGAACCGCACTCCTCCATGAGCATGTGTTCCACGTAACAAAAGCACCAAACATGTCGCTATTATTCAGCATAATCCATCTGTCACCTTGTCATAAGTCCAACCTGATTGTGTTTTCACAAAGCTGGCCCACAGCTGTGTGATTATAGGTGGCGTAATAAAGCAAAGCAAATCCTGCTACCTGGGATATGTGACAGCACCCAAGATTTACCTCACACGTCACAAATCCTGCTCTCCATTTCTAAAAATACGTCCATGCTACGTAGCGCCAACTGTATATGCAAACTAGACTATTTTCACCACGAAATTATGTTTGACCATTGAAACTTTTGCCTCTGCAGTGCTGCCTGATCTCCTCTGGTGTGACAAAACAGTGATCCCTCATCTATGTTTTCATTCAGAGAAAGCAGGAGGTGGTGAGCAAAGTTTGTACTGATGTGATCAGAAGAAGTTGCAATGTTTCCAACACACACGGTGGCAAATGGTGATTAAGTAGGACGCTGTGTCGACAAGTCTAACTCCTGTTAACGCATTCACACCACCTGGTCACCAGTTTGCTCCTCACAACCTTGAGTCTTGGAAACTTTGGACTACGTCAAGTTCTCATCACGAGGATTGTTTCTCCACACGAAATCCAGGCCTGCGGATGTTCAAGGTGAATAGGAAAATCACAGACCGCACACTGCGAGTGATTAAAAATGGCAGCAGCGATCAAAGTGGTTTTGAAAGAGAGATTAGCCTAATTCTAAGTGGTACGTTTTTTTTTTTTTGCTTATTTGTCTGTCCCAAGTACACAAAACTTTTTGACAACACCTCATACAGCCCGATGTCAACTCCTGTGACCATTCAGTCTCTATTTTTGCACTTAACAAAATTGCGCCATATGTCAATACGCATGACATCCCACACAACGCACAACACACACTGAACTACTTCACTGAAAGATGAAGCCTGTTGGATGGTAACTGTGCTTTAAATGAAGAGTGTGTCCAGACATTGTATCTGCAGATTTTGTTGGATGAATAGCCAGCTTAATAAATAAAGTCACTGTGTGTGAGTGTGTGTGCTTGTGACTCATAATGGAATTGCACAGCCCATTACTGCGCAGCCACTAACAAACCCAATGTACAAACTTATTGCATATGCCAATCCATCCTCCTCTGTCCTAACCAATTATATGTAACTTCATTTCCAGCCTGCTTCTAGTCTCAGGAATGCTTTTAGCTGTTCTAAAGATAGTTGTGCTTCAGCATTAGATCAATAGGAAATATCTGTCCGTGTTTCCCAAACAACACGCAGTCACAATTCTACAGTTTGCCTTAGATGATAGGCAGGAAACATTTTTCTTACGTAACTTTAGTGGGACAGAAGTGTGCCTTCTGGTTTTTTTTTTCAGTGAAGAGGACTGGTTGTGTTGCACAATAACAAAAAAACCCCCATCTAAGTGAAAGAGCCGTGTTCGCTGACCTGCGGTCGTCTCGTCCCCTGTGGTGCAGCATCTCCGAGTGAACGTCTGAATCTGGTTGAGCAGGCTTGATCAGCAGTGTGAGGTTCCCCACCATGGGGCCGGCCTCATACACAGCCACCTGAAGCAGGCAGTCCATGCTGCTTTTTGGCAATACTGGGCTCATTAAGTGGTAGTCACATTTCCCAGAGGCCTCAGCTTCAGGTGACGGAGTTAAAAGAAGGAAGTGTCCTAAGGTAATAAAACAAAGTGGAAAATTCATGGTTGACTATTTTATAGCAGCCTCATAACACTGTCTAATGCTTTAGCGTTATGACAAATTCTGGATTAGGGTATATTTGAATATATGAAGCACAGAGTGAAAGAAAATGTCAAGTGAGAAGCAACGTTTTCACACAGTAGCACAAAGACTCTTCTAAACATAGAAGAAAGAGGAACACTGTGTATCAGAGCACACTGATTTAGCTGCTCCTCTGTGAGTCTCTGCACTCTTACCATCAGACCTTCCCTCTGAGTTGTCAGTTGCAGGCATCATCCCAGCCTTTGTACTCTGTGGTTGCTGTGGCGACACTAATAACCAGTCACTTCGGCTGCTGTTCGATAAAGTCCAGAGACACGGTGATTCAAAATCACAGGAGGGAACTGCAACACATGAAACAACAAAGATGAAAACTCAATTTTTAAAAAAAGAGTCCATCAAATTATGTAGATTATTTGTTGTTGTTTTTTTAATGTTTTTGTCTGAATGTGTAATTACTGTATCGATTTAAAAATGCACTGATTTGATTACAGCTCCAAGCTAACAAATATACTGAAATATAAACATAAAATGCGTCTTAATGGCATTTTTTTCCCCACTAGCCTGAAATAATCATATTTATACACACATGCAAAACAGCCCCAAATCTAAGAACTGAAAAAGTGTATATTTCTCACGTTATCTTTATCCCACTATGTATAAAATCTTGAAACGAACTGATACTGTATTAAAGAAAAAAACAACTTGTCCGCAAAACTTCACAGTAAATAAACAGCATCTGCGATTTCACAAAAAAAGCCTCCAAACTCATTTATATGAATGCCTGAGTGGGGATGAGTAACACCATATGTTTTTTAGGCTTTTTTTTGGGGGGGGGGGGGGGGTTTGGGGTGGGGGTGGTGAGTGGAAATATGAGAAATGTGTTTCTTTATTATCTCGAGACCAGAAAAATCCCAACAGAACTAAAGAAAAAAGTTAGGATGCAACTCCTCCAGTGATGCTTCTCTCTGAAAATATCTCTCTTTAATATAAAAAACTAATAAAACGCAAATTCCAAACACATAAAGGATAGACAAAACTAGACAGGAAAAACTGTGCCTGAGAAAATGAAAAGCTATGAAGAATATATATTTTAAAAAAGCCACAACATTTTAAAAAAATTGTATAAAATGTCAGCTCAAGGCCTTTAGTTCCACTAAATCAAATTTAAATCCAAAATCTGTTTAAAAGTCAAACAGACAGAGCCTTTGACTGATTTTGTGTCTGTCTGTGTGGGGGTCGATGAACAGGAAGGGGACGGAGGAGACGTTCAAGACATCATGTGACAACTGGAGAGGAAACTGCCTTAACCACTAATATGGCAGCAAGCCAGGGGAATTAGGAATCCCTCCTGGGATAAAGCACAGAATTATTAACTAATTATTTCATATTAACCCACATTCATTTCTTTAAACCAGATAAAAGAGTAGCCTTCCTCTGATCACAAATGATGTAAAAATGTTGCTTTTTCACAGGCATCAACATGCTACTTGTGCTCCTGGCAATCTAACAGGGGAGTGTTGTTACAGCTCGAGTGATGCTTGCACTTGAAATTCAAAATGGGTAGTTTTGTCTCAAAAATCCAGTTTTTCAGGGATAAATAATTTAACCATGCTTTCCAGTCAAAGAAATATTCATATAGATGCATGCAATGAGTGTAAGAAAAGCAATAAAAACAACCCAGGTGATAACTGGAATACAGATTTTCAATTTGTGTCAAATCATCAACACATCAGTATTCTAGATACAAACTCACAGTGGCTGTCATTGTCCAGGGGATGAGGAAGAAACTCATCTGGGAAGTCTTCGTCCAGAAATCGGTCAAAAAGGGCGTGGCAGGTACTGCTCACTAATGACAGAGACAAACAGGTTTTATTAGTTCGAGACGTCATACAAGCATTTCACTGTCTTCAGTCACTCTAGTAAACTGCAGCCATCAGAACCGCTTTAACTCTTCATGGCAAAAATTCAACAAGGTGTTGGAAACAGTCCTCAGAGAGTTTGGTCCATATTGACACGATAACATCTCGCAGCTGCTGTAGATTTTGTCGGCTGCACATCCATGGTGCAAAACTTTCCATCACATCCCAGAGGCTACTGGACTGAGATCTGGTTACTGTAGTTCTTAGTGCTTAGTTAGTAATAAAGGACCAAACCTGTGCCAAACTGTACAGAGAGAAATTCCCTAACACCATTACATCATGACCATTGATACAAGGCAGGGTTTATCTATGCTTTCACATTTACGCACATCCTCAGACCAGGCAAGACTTTTCCAATCCTCTGTTGCCAAATTTTGGTGAGCCCATGGGAATTGTAGCCTCTGTTCCCTGTCTTTAGCAAGCAGGAGTGGCACCTGGTCTTTTGATATGGTCACCTTGATTGATTTGATTGATTTTCCCATTGATTTGAGATACTGTTGCCTTCCTGTCAGCTTGAGGCAGTCTGGCTTTTCAACTCTAACCTTAGGTAACAAAAAGGCATTTTCACCCAAAGAACTACCGCTTACTTGATATTTTCCTCCTCTCGGAGCATCCTTTGTACTGTAAACCTGACATGCCTAAATCTATTAAGTTGCTGTGATTGGCAGGTGTACCTAACAAAGTTGCCAGGCAGTGTATCTTTTTGTTTTGATAAACAGAATCAATAATTTTCATGGATGAGTCAAAGAGAAACACTCAGATTTAGTATGAATAGCTAAAATACAGGAGGTTTACAGCAGCGTCTACCAATAAACCATGCTGCTGCAAACAAGACGAAACAAAGTGTAACACTGTTAAGAAAAACAGCAAAGTGGTCGTCTGAATCCAGGCTGTGGAAACCTAAAAACTAGTATGACGCATAATTGCCCTGAGTTTCCACTGCTGCCTCGTTAGCGCCGCAACAAAAGTGCTACAAAACTAACACCAGAATTTTCAGGTGTGAAAACATATTGTTAGCATGAAGTTTCACATGAATTAGAGGACTTTACATGTCAAGACGAAAAACGAAAGCAATTACCAACTGGCCCTTTCCCAGCTTAACTTTTATTTTATTTGATTCCTTATTTTTTTGGCATCTGTCTGAGACCTTTAATAAAACAAAGTGGGGTTCTGGCAGCACTTCACATACAAGCAAGAGTCATGGAAAGGAATAAAACTGCTGCGATACAGTAACTTTAACAGTAAACCAACGTTTTTAGATACACAAGCCTTGAATCCATGAAAAAAACAGCAGTAATTTCTGCTATGCAAGAAACTCCACACACTGGAAATTCTTCCAGCATGTGGCACTTTCTGCAGCTCATTGTGAAACCAACCTCTCAGTCTATTAGATGTAGCTGAGTCAAAATGTTTTTACTGTCCCCCGTTTAATTCCATCCCTTTCAAAGACAGCTTGCCTTGAGGCTTAAATGCTCACACAACCACCAAAATATAATATTTTTTATCTTTTTTCTCCTCGTAGATAAACTCTTACATGAATGGAAATATACATACAGAAATAGCATTCACTGCTTCGCAGCAACAATCAACAGACATGCTCTTATTTTGGAGATGCAAGCTGAAAGAAAAAGTCACATTCAACGTATTAACTAGCATGACGAGTGGACAATGAGGGAGATGATAATATCTTAGAGGGTCACAACTCAAATGTTGCAATGGCCCCTGAACAGTGGCGTTACTGTTATCTGATGCCTGCAGGGCAAAGTCAAAAAAGCCAAGCAGGACAAATTCAATAGCTGAAATTGCTGTTTACTGAAAGCGGTTAGTGATGCTAATGATGAGGAGGTGAGGGGTCGTGCCTATGAATGGCAGCCTTGCTATTTATTGATAATTATGGAATAACAGCTGCTATGGATAGTTCCGAGCACGGAAACGGGAAAAATTAAACTGTAGGAAAAAAGAAAAGGATTCAGCCAAAAGAAGAAAAAAAAATTAACCCGCTATTATTAACATAAGCTTGGGAATCCCCCAAGAATCCAAACTTTTTATTTTACTCCCTCCAACTCCTTTCTTATCTTGTCCAGTATGGATTTAAAAGATAAAGAACAAAAGAAATACAAATTTTTAAAAAAAACACCCAAACACTCTCTTTTAAGCTAGAAAGGAAATGAAAGAATTACTGAACTATCTGCATCATCATCAGCCGGCAGCGAGTTTCTTTGATGACAATCCAGGACCCCGACTACACTGTTACTGCACCAAAGGCCTTTGAGGAGAGTGTAACTTTTAAAAGCTGTCAGCTCAGTTGAAAGCAAAGCCTGTCCTTGTTAGTTTCTCTATCAAGGTACCGTGGAGTCAGAAAACTGCTGTGCGTTGTAGTTTAGCTAAGTTCAAGGACGGGGCTTTGTTGCAGATCTGAACAGCTCAATAGAAAAGGCAACAAACTAGCAGGGGCCTCTTTGCCACCAGTTTGCTGTCTCTCCGTCACTCAGCAGAAGTGAAACCATTAAGAGTGAGCTTTTGTTTAAAAGCAAGATCAGCCAGAATCAAAGGAACTTATCATCAGGCCACAGAGCAGCGGCCTGATGATAAGGTGGATAACCTGGCCTCCATCTCCTTACCTATCTCCTGCTCTGTCATCCATCGCATACGCTGGCCTCTCAGAGGATTTGCTTTGCACCACCAGGAAATGTGTGACAACAACAACAACAACATCATCTGGGCCTGCCTAGAAAGCTTTTTTTTTAAATGTACGTGTGAATATTGGCTGCTTGTCAAGTCAATAAAACTCCAAAATTGCAGCTTCAGAAGGACTCGGAGCAATTTTCTAATGAGCAGACCATGAATTATACAGTTTTTATCTTCAAGGCTAGTTTCTGAGTGCTGAAAGCTATTTATTACATCAGCCTCGGCACTTGGATAAACACATTCGCTCTCCATGTGCTCATGAAAGTGGCATGCTGTAAATGCCTGAGCTAAATTAAGCTAAGCAAGGGTACAACCAGAGCACTGCCTGATGCTATTTATACGCTCGCTCCTGGATTCTCTTTCTCTACCTGTGCCTAAATCATCACATCACCTGACTTAGGGCATTTCTCACTCTCTCTAATGAGTTTTGTAGTTTTGCAGCAAATTTTGCTTCTAGACCAACAAATTAATCATCAATCAATTATGTTGAAAAAGTATTTTTTTCACTTTTGGTGTTATTTAGATGCCACCTTCCGTTTTCAACATGATTAGGGTCTACTGGTCATTTTCACTTAACTCACAAATAATGCTGAAAATAAAGTTTGCATTATTATGGGTGTGGACGTTTTGAGTTACAGGTTGGTGCCATAATGGTATAAAACATGGACGTAGTTTCCAGGTCAGAAAAATCATGCCAGTGTACAAGTACCTTGAACCTGCATTCTACCTGAAGGCCACCAGATGGCGATAGCTGTGGTCTAAAGCAGCGGTCGCCAACCCCCGGGCCTCGGACCGGTACAGGTCTGTGAGTCGTTTGGTACCAGGCCATGAGAGTTGAGGCTCGGGTGTGAAATTTATGGTTTTCAGGGTTTTCATCGGTTTTTATAGTTCTTTTTTTAAATCGTTTTTATCGTTAACTCGGTTTCCCTGGGTCCTTTCCCGTGTGTTCTGAATAAATCCTCCTTTTTTTGGTACCAGTACTGTTTTTTTTTTTTTTTTGTATTTATCCGTGACACCTTAAAAGCCAGTCTGTGAAAATATTGTCGGACATAAACCGGTCCGTGGTGCAAAAAAAGTTGGGGACCGCTGGTCTAAAGGAAAACAACTTCAGCTCTTTATTATTAAGTGTTTATTGGCTCAGTCACTCTTTTGTTGGCACAGTGAATACAACTTTAAGTGTGTTTAGTAAATCTTGGTAATATTATAGTTAACAATAGAGGATTATCTGTGGTATGAAACCACACACTCACTAGCTAACAATTTAGCAATCTTAAGTTGTTAGCCAGTGGGTGCATGGTTTCATGGTCATACTCGCCCTCTTTGTCGCCTCTGTTTTATTGCAGCCAAGATGGCGATGGCATTAACACTCATGCTGAGGCTTCAACAGGACTTCAGAAACCAGTGGCTGATGTCACAGTAGCTACGACCACTTTCTATTTTGTCTGTGGTTGGTGCCTGCCAGACTTGTCTACTAGGCATCACCTTAGCTAATTTGAGCATTTGAGGAGCATTTTTAAAACAAACAAACAATGTAATTACATGTCAAATGATATGTAGCTAGTGCACTTAATGGGCTTAAGAGCCAATGTGAAGAAGTTTTCTAAATCTGGTGAGTGAAATTCGGATATTTATTTGTGGGTTTGCGCTAATGGCTACACTTTGCTATCAAACCCCATTGTAGTTAGCTGATAACTTAGTATTCCCACTTCTCATTCAATAAATCTAGCTCCAATAACTCAACGTAGCAACAACAGTAATGCAGCAATGGGTGACATCCCAGATGTGTGTGTTTTTTTACGATCTATATATCTGAGAAAACCAATAAAGGGAACAAAAGTGGAAAGAATAATATCTGCTTAAAGTTTTATTGTAAGCCATCCAGTAGTTCCTACAGATATTCTTAAAGAGATATGTGTACTATTTAAGTAACACCTGATTATGTGGATTTATACCTCCTTTAAAACAGCACTAGAGCTCAGTGGGACATGACACAGTTCTGCACAGCTCTCACACCTGGTAAAAATAAAAAAATGAGTGTGGAAACATTAAGTACCTACAATTCATCTCCTTGCGCATTATGCAGAATCATCCTTTGTAGCAAGAAGCTTCATCTCTCCACACTCGCCTAATAAAGTCCTTAACCTCTCAAATCTCTTATTCGCTACCAGGCCTTTATGCTTCATTCCCAAGATACATGACAGCTGAACTGGCTATAGACAGAGCCACGATCTATAATTGA